TTGACCCGGTCGATGGCAGACATAGAATGCTTCCAACCACACGGGGGTTTCTATAGGCCATTGCTCCCCTTGCCTCTCTGAGGGGGCCAGGTTCTGGCTCGTGGTCCCCGGTAGGCCCTAGAACTCCATACACATGACTGATGCCAAAGTCTGACATTAGCATATCAGCCGGTAAAGCTCCGGGGAGCCGACGGGGCTCCCCCCAGAAACAAAACTAAAAAGTACCTAATTTCATCTTCATAGTTTTTTACCTTGTTTCTTTAAAATTGCACTGTATCTATAGTGCTACCCAGTCTCCCAATCTTTTTGTACCCAATCCAAACAACTTTACCATTGTGATCATTACTGTCTTATGTGTGCTATTAATTTGCTGTATGGTGCCTATTAATCTTGTTTAAATTATCAATCAAGCTGTCAATGTAATCAATCAGAGCTTTAATATACCAATGTGCTTTAACACTTTCGCCCGGGCATGACGCAGCATTGCGTCATCCGTTTACAGGCGGTAATACCGGGGACGACGCAGCATTGCGTCATCCACTTTAAATTAGATTTAGATTTATACTTACTAATCTCTCTCATTTTCTTCTTGCAATGTTATTTTATTAATTCTGCTGGAATTTACCTACTTAAAATTATCTGTTAGATTAAGAACCTGCCCGAAACGTTGCGCGTACTAGTGGCTTTACAAGATTGTAAACACCATGCTATGTATTCTCACAAACCCAATATGTACCTTCTTGTATATAAATAAGTAAATAACTACCTGTTTCATGTTTACATCAGTTAACCCATGACCGACCTGCAGATACACAAAAAACGCGCAATTCGTAGAAAACTGATATTTATGGACACACTCTTTTATTTTATTTTTTGTATTTATTTATTTATATACAAGAAGTTACATTGGGTTTATGAGAGTACATAGCATGATGTGTTTACATTCTTGTAAAGCCACTAGTACGGACAACGTTTCGGGCAGGTCCTTAATCTAACAGATAATATTAAGTAGGTAATTTCTAGCAAAATTTATAAAATGTTAACAGGTACATTGTAAGAAAATTTGAGAGAGAGATTAGTAGGTACATTAGAGTACATTAGAGTACATTAGAGCACATTAGAGTACATTGAAAGCTTTGATTGAAAGCATTGATAGCTTGATTGATAATATGACAAAGATTAGTAGGCACATTAAAGCACACTGATAGCACATATAAGATAACAGCAATGTTTAATGATAGAGTTGTAAGGCTTAGGTATATATATTGGGGGGATTGGGTTGTACACATTATGTGTTCAATATAACAATCATGATATAAGATGATATCATTGATTACAATGGTAAAGTTATATGGCTTAGGTACATATATTGGGGGTTTGGGTAGCACAAAATACAAATACAGTGGATACAGATTCAAATACAGAGGATAAACTCCCACTTTTTTTATTATTAGTATTATTTTCTACCACAGACGTGGCCACACATTTACAATGCTAACCAGCATATATACATTTTCTTCCGTCCTTCATGGACAGGGTTAGAGACGTGTTAAACATATCAGATGTTTCAGATTCAGATGTTTATTCAGGTAAGGTATATACATACAAGTGATGTTACATTAATGGATTGATATATAGATAGAGCTAGTACATACAATGCCTAAAGCCACTATTACGCAATGCGTTTCGGGCAAGAAAAAACATTAATATCTAGAACTTAATACTAATTGAGCATAAAGAATAAAAGATGTTGAGAACAAATACAAATAAAGATAAAAAAAAAAGGGGGAACATGACTGAAAAAGCAGCACAAATACAATAGGTTGACAAACAGTGTTGATTAAAAAAAGAAAAAAAAAGAAAATAACAGACATGGGTTGACAATAGAGGAGTGAGGTAGATTACAGGGAATTTATTAGGTAGTGTTTAGTTTTTATCTTAAACTGGTTGAGAGAGGTACAGTCTTTAACATGGTTGGGAAGGTCATTCCACATTCTGGGCCCCTTGATTTGCAGAGCATTTCTAGTTTGATTAAGACGTACTCTAGGAATATCAAAACTGTATTTATTTCTGGTGTGGTGCTCATGGGTTCTGTTACAACCTTCTATGAAGCTTTTAAGATCAGGATTGGCATTATAGTTTAGCGTTTTATATATGTATAATACACATGAGAGAATGTGCAGTGACTTAATATCTAACATATTAAGAGATTTGAGTAGGGGTACCGAGTGATGTCTGGGGCCAGAGTTGGATATTGTTCTAATAGCGGCTTTGTGTTGGGTAATTAGAAGACGTAAGTGATTTTGGGTAGTAGAACCCCAAGCACAAATACCATAGTTGAGATAAGGATAGATAAGGGAGTAATAGTCACCAGGGCAGGGCGTGGTACATAATATCTGATCTTAGAAAGAATGCCCACAGTTTTTGAAACTTTTTTTGATATATTTAGAATGTGTCCCTGGAAATTCAGCTTGTGGTCAATGAGAATGCCAAGGAATTTGCCATCTAATTTGTTACAAATTTGGGTATTGTTTATTTTGAGATTTATAAGACTAGAGGATTTATTGCCAAACAGAATATAGAAGGTTTTGTCAATGTTAAGGGTGAGTTTGTTGGCAGTTAGCCAAAGATGGACTTTATTTAGCTCAGTATTTACTGTGGCATTTAGAGCAAGAGGGTCAGGACTGGAGTAAATGAAGGTTGTGTCGTCAGCAAATAGAATTGGTTTGAGGTGTTGGGAGGCATTTGGTAGGTCATTAATGTAGATGAGAAAGAGGAGAGGGCCAAGTATGCTGCCCTGAGGAACACCAATGTTGATGGGTAGGGTGGGAGAAATTGTATTATTCACAGAAACATATTGGAGCCTGTCAGTAAGGTAGGACTCGAGGTATTGTAGGGAGTGTCCTCTGACTCCATAATGATGTAGTTTAAGAAGAAGGTTTTGGTGGTTGACAGTATCAAAAGCTTTACGCAGGTCCACAAATAACCCAACAGGGAGCTCCTTTTTATCAAGAGCTGTATGAATCGAGTTAAGCATACTAATAAGTGCATCGTTAGTGCTTTTTTAGGGTCTGAAGCCATATTGGCAAGGGCTAAGTATATTGAGTTTGGCTAGATATGAGTAAAGCTGCTTGTATATAAGTTTTTCAAAAATTTTTGACAAGTTTGGCAGGATTGATATAGGTCTGTAGTTGTTAACATCTGTGGGGTCACCACATTTGTGGACAGGCGTTACTCTCGCTTTTTTTAGAATATCTGGAAAGGTTTGGAGTTCAAGTGACTTGTTGAAGAGCAAAGCAATAGCAGGGGCTAAAGATCTGGAGGCTTTTTTGTAAATTAAAGTTGGTATCTCCTCAAGGGCACCAGACTTGGTTTTAAGGGAAAGGATTATCTCATTGACGTCAGTGGAGTTAATAGGCTTTAGGTACAGAGACTGTGGATAGTTACCTGTAAGATAGTCCTTAATGTCAGTACTGGAAGATGGAATATCATTTGCAAGGGATGAACCAATGGAAGAGAAGAACCTATTGAACTCAATAGCAGAATCAGAGGCTGAAAGCTGACAATCGTTATTAGACAGGAGAGTCGGTTTGTTATTTAAAGATTTCTTTGATCCCAATATTTGTGAAATTGTGCTCCAAGTTTGTTTAATGTTGCTCTTTATTTGAGTAAATTTATCTTCGTAGTAATTAGTTTTGGCTCGTCTAATTATCTTAGTTAGCAATAATGAGTAATTCTTTGAGAATTCTTTGGAGACAATTCCTAACCTATACTTCTTCTCAAGGTCGTGTTTTTTGTTAATGGATTTCAGTATTCCCTTTGTAAGCCAAGGATTGTTAAGCCTTTTGCTTGTGACTTGTTTAGTAAGCCTAGGACAGTGGGTGTTATAAAGGCTAAGAGTTGTTTGTAGAAAAGATTGCACTGCTAGGTTGATGTCCCCTATGTTACCTAATTCGGACTCCCAGTTGACATTATCAGCAGCAGTTATAAAATTGTTTATAGCAGTTTCATTGTGCAGCCTAAAGCTTAACTCCCTTGTTTCTAGAGGTGGTTTGCTAATGTTAGTTAAGAGAAATGTGGGGTAGTGGTCTGTAGTGCTATCGGTGATTATACCTGAAGTAAGCGGAGAGGTTATGTTGGTCCAGATGTGATCTAGAGTCGTGGCAGTGCTATCAGTGATTCTAGTAGGTCTAGTGATTAAGGGTATGAGGAGGCAGGAATTCATACAGTTGAGGAAGCTAACAGCAGTAGGGTGTTCTGGCTCGCAGAGGTCAATATTAAAGTCCCCTGCGATAATTAGGTGGTTTTTGTTCAGTCTGTTATCAAGTATTAGATTTCTAAGGTTTGAGTTGAATACAGACACATCAGTGTTGGGAATTCTATAGACTGCACCCACAGACAGGACAGACTCGGCACCCTTGACTCTGAAGCTGGCGAAGATATACTCCCCATAGCAGTCTCTAGTTCTAATTTCTTTTAGGCATGTTAGTTCTTGGTGGTAGTAAAGAGCAGTGCCACCACCTCTCTGAAGTTGACGACAGTTGTGAATTGCTGAGTAGTTAGGCATGTTAAAGAGTTGAGTAGAGTAAAGAGTTGAGTTGAGTATATAGTTCAAGGGTTTATTGAACACTCAACCACAGAAGATGATTCGGTGCTTTTAAAATGCTAAGCTAACCTACAGACTCGCACTGGATAATGAGCGAGTTTAAAGCACTAGGTAGGAAACTATGAAGATAAAATTAGGTACTTTTTGGTTTTATTTTTGAGTAAGGGAAAAGTTGGACAGTTTTTCAATTCGTTAAGGAATTAGTTCCATAGACTGGGTCCCTTTATTTGCATAGAGTGTTTACACATATTAAGTTTGACTCTGGAGATATCAAAGAGATATTTATGTCTGGTGTGGTGATTCTGTTTTCTATTATATCTGTCCAGGAGGAGTTTCAGAAAATGTATATTTTATTAATTAAATATTAAACACAAGTTGGATATAGGTTACTCACCATAAACCCATTGGCTCCCAGAGTGACTATGAGGCCGTGCATTGTCTCCAGGAGCGGGGCGGCGGTGGCCAGGACCTGCTGGAGCATCCCGTGGAGGTCCTCGCTGCTCGCAGGCACCTCTCCCACCCCTCCTGAGGAGCACACACTGTGTTGAGGCTCGAACTATAGTGCCAGGGTGAAGGTATACACCGACCACTCACTCACATGCATCGGTGCAGAGGAAACCTCGCATCTTGCAGGTCAGTGTTCGATCCCCGTTGGTTCAAGAGATTGGGCACCATTCCTTCCCTCCGTTCCATGCCCTCATATCCCTCCCATGTGCTATACTGTATGGGCATACTGGCTTAGCATTTTCTCCTTATACTTACCTTGCCTTACAAATATTTGCTAGTAGTTGAAATTTTAAATTTAGTCATTTATTATGCACTTTATACCCATCCCGTGGGCAGTAGTGGAACCCATAACCATCCCGTGGGCAGTAGTGGAACCCATAACCATCCCGTGGGCAGTAGTGGAACCCATAACCATCCCGTGGGCAGTAGTGGAACCCATAACCATCCCGTGGGCAGTAGTGGAACCCATACCCATCCCGTGGGCAGTAGTGGAACCCATAACCATCCCATGGGCAGTAACGGAACACACACCCATATCGTGGGCAGTAGTGGAACCCATACCCATCCCGTGGGCAGTAGTGGAACCCATAACCATCCCATGGGCAGTAGTGGAACACACACCCATATCGTGGGCAGTAGTGGAACACATACCCATACCATGGGTTGTGGTGGAAAGGGTTACAGAGGCACATAACAGACACAGGAACTAAACCCCAAAGTTCAGCCTATGAAGCTGATTACTATATTATATATATATATATATATATATATATATATATATATATATATATATATATATATATATATATATATATATATATATATATATATATATATATATATATATATATATATATATATATATGTCGTACCTAGTAGCCAGAACTCACTTCTCAGCCTACTATGCAAGGCCCGATTTGCCTAATAAGCCAAGTTTTCCTGAATTAATAGATTTTCTCTAATTTTTTTCTTATGAAATGATAAAGCTACCCATTTCATTATGTATGAGGTCCTTTTTTTTTATTTGAGTTAAAATTAACGTAGATATATGACCCAACCTAACCAACCTTACCTAACCTAACCTAACCTATCTTTATAGGTTAGGTTAGGTTAGGTAGCCGAAAAAGTTAGGTTAGGTTAGGTAGGTTAGGTAGTCGAAAAACAATTAATTCATGAAAACTAGGCTTATTAGGCAAATCGGGCCTTGCATAGTAGGCTGAAAAGTGAGTTCTGGCTACTAGGTACGACATATATATATATATATATATATATATATATATATATATATATATATATATATATATATATATATATATATATATATATATATATATATATCACTAAGAACTCTTTGACCCGGCCAGGATTCGAACCCATGCCGTCCAGGATCACCCCTAAACGTACACAGTACCGTGACCACCGCACCAATGATCGTCTATAAGGATTGGTCAGTCTTGGCGCTTATTAACTAAGCTCCCTGACTGACCAATCCCCGACGACACTCCTTATAGACGATCATTGGTGCGGTGGTCACGGTACTGTGTACGTTTAGAGGTGATCCTGGACGGCATGGGTTCGAATCCTGGCCGGGTCAAAGAGTTCTTAGTGATATATGGCTTGCGCGTTCATGCAGCTTTCTCACACATGTTAGACTCAGTGCGGCCCGTGCATGCGCCAGAATTTGATGAAAAACTGTACCCAAATGGATCCATGAGTGTCGTCGGGGGTTGGTCAGTCAGGGAGCTTAGTTAATAAGCGCCAAGACTGACCAATCCTTATAGACGATCATTGGTGCGGTGGTCACGGTACTGTGTACGTTTAGGGGTGATCCTGGACGGCATGGGTTCGAATCCTGGCCGGGTCAAAGAGTTCTTAGTGATATATGGCTTGCGCGTTCATGCAGCTTTCTCACACATATATATATATATATTGAGAGAGAGTGTGTGTGTGTGTGTCTTTGAAGACTTAATTATAAAGTCATACACAGGAGTAAGTGATAGAGGTTCAGGCGTTACATGCACAACAAGTGGGGCACAGGACACAATACCACACCTTGTGATGTATAGAGGACAGGAGTGGGGCACAGAACACAATACCACACACCGTGAGAGACAGAGCACATCATGTCACCAGCTGTATACACTGCACCACTCACGATCACCAGAGTGTCAAAGGCTTCCCATTTGTCTTGATGGGAAACGATCGACCGTCGGGATTTTGAATTACTGCAGTATTTTGGTATTAACGGCTTCGGCGGGTAGGCGGTTCCATTGTATTATAACCCCTGTGGGTGTAACAGCATCTCCCGTTTTCTGTCCTACATTGTGGCTTGTTGAGCTTAAAACCGTTGCTCTTTGTGTTACATCTGACCTCTTAAACAAGTGGTCCGTATCTTCTTGATTATTACATAAAATTATTGTTTTTGATTTTACAAATGTTAAATTAGAGACTTCAGGATAAGTCCTAATCTAATCATTAATAGTTTAAATTAGATTCTTCATTATTAATACATCTATGATCTGAAAACTATTTTATATAATCGCTTTTAATTTATTTACATTTATTTAAACTCACCGAGACCAAGGTATGAACACAGCGCGCGAAGTTCATTGAGGTTAGGGGAGGAGAAGGTGACGGCTCGCCCCCTCCCTTCCCGCCACGGCTTCGTCGCCTTCTGGATGTCCGTCGGTTCGTACCACACTGTTGACAAGCATCACCATTGTAAAACTGTACACTATAAATACATGCTGTATAAAATAGGTTTAATATATAAAATAGGTTTAATATATAAAATAGGTTTAATACAATTGATAATTATTAGGTTTAATTATTTAGGACAATTAATAGGTTTAAATTGATAGGACCTGCCCGAAACGCTGCGCGTGCTAGTGGCTTTACAAGACTGTAATTACCATATTTGTATCCTCACATTCCTTATGTACATTCTTGTATATGCATAAATAAAAAATAAAAAATAAAAATAATATATAAAATAGGTTTAATAATATACACCAGTGGTGGTAAGGGGTACCACCACTGGTGTAATTAAAGGGCCCCCACTACCTCGAGGAAGAAAATCAAGAGTGTTTAGAAGACTGTGTGGATTCTCACTGAACACTTTAATCTTTTCACCACACTACAAGCTGAGTGTTGTCCCACCACACTACAAAGCTCAGTGCTGTACCATCACACTACAAAGCTCAGTGCTGTACCACCACACTACAAAGCTCAGTGCTGTACCACCACACTACAAAGCTGAGTGTTGTACCACCACACTACAAAGCTCAGTGCTGTACCACCACACTACAAAGCTCAGTGCTGTACCACCACACTACAAAGCTCAGTGCTGTACCACCACACTACAAAGCTCAGTGCTGTACCACCACACTACAAAGCTCAGTGCTGTACCACCACACTACAAAGCTCAGTGCTGTACCACCACACTACAAAGCTCAGTGCTGTACCACCACACTACAAAGCTCAGTGCTGTACCACCACACTACAAAGCTGAGTGTTGTCCCACCACACTGCAAAGCTGAGTGTTGTCCCACCACACTACAAAGCTGAGTGTTGTCCCACCACACTACAAAGCTGAGTGTTGTCCCACCACACTGCAAAGCTGAGTGTTGTCCCACCACACTACCACACTACATATGCATGGAAGAGTCCTTATGACCTCTCCCAACCACATGCCCGAGTGCATTCGGGTTATGTGGGCATCTATTTCACCCAATCAAGGTTTAGGCCACGGAGCATACAATATAGAGTGATAAACCTCTATGGTACACAGGCTGCATTTTAAATACTTGAAATGTTAAACAAAGGCGTTTGGCATTTTCTAACGTGGAATGGACAAAATAAAATTGATAAAACAACACGTTCATAGGTGGTTGTTGATAGTTTGGAAGGCATCGACGGGATCGTTCATAGGTGTGTTGGTTTATATTAAAAACTAAATAAAGAACAATCAAAATTTCGCCAGCAATCCTAAACACTATATCCTTGACAATAGGCTACGAATGTTTGACATGGACCCAGTGCCCAAATTTTCCTATCTGAAATGTTGACGGTAATAAGTTTTAGGACCATTTCTAACATAAATAACCTAACCAATTAAAGAACACATTTCGAAATGTATGAACCAGTTAAGGAGAAATTTGCCAGCTGTATGCTTTATCAAGCTTAAGAGCCATCACCCCATATTGGAAAGCTGCTTCCCTTGACCTCTGTTCAGTTGGAACAAGTCGCTTAACCTTCAGCGTTTTGAATTTACGGATTTGATTATTGAAAATTGTTTAACCCGGTTAAAATTCTAACCCCGTCAGGCTACATAATGACATTGAAAGTTTTTAAAACATCACTAAATACCAAGATTTAAAATTTGAAGCTGTGGCTTCTGTACGTCACTCGGCCAGTCAGGTTAAACAATGTGGCTCTGTATGGTACCTGGATAGGTGACCACATGATGACAACCTTCTTCTTGGGGCGGGAAATTCTACAAACCAATTAAGGGTTTTCTATTACCTACAACGTTTAATTAACAAGAATCGCCACACTGTTAAATCATACAAATAAATGACATTTATAACATACCTAGACATCTGGTAACAGCGTTTCTTCATTACTGCTATACACTGATAAATATTGTTTCAAGACAATACTCTTGGCTCTACTTATAATAGTGTATAGTTAATACTAATATAAATTAATCTGTTGTATGTGATATATATTACCTAACATGCAAATTCTCATATATATATATATATATATATATATATATATATATATATATATATATATATATATATATATATATATATATGTGTGTGTGTGTGTGTGTGTATATCTCTTGTGACCACTTTAGTTTCATTTTCCACCACCTTACCTGTGCTGGACTTGAAGACTTGGCAGCGCCGCACAGGTGACTCCCAGGTACTGTTTACACTACACGTTTGTTATTTGTAACGCTGATCTCGTTTCACTTAACCTAGTATCTCTATTTACGCTAATCTGTAGGAAGTAATGTAAAGATTATAGACCCTTAATTACAATCAACGGGCATTTATTAGAAGACTGGAGAGAGAATTGGATAAGATAATTGTGAGTGGTGGCAGTTGAGCGAGGTGGTAGAGGACCATCAACAACACAGCCAGTGGTCGGGCGTTGTGTTATGGGGACTTGAGGGCTGTGGCACATTTTCGAAAACCTGGTGACCATTATGAGTTCTTACGAGTCATTCGAGGCCACAACCTATCCATGGGGCCCTTCAATCTACTTGATATCTTTTCTTTCCATCGTGATATCCTTCTGCTCGCCTTACTGGCTGGCCAATGATGGGGAACTGGAGGATGGCCATTTCTCCAACACAGGTGAGTCTTTTTGGCCTTTCTCCGCCACATTCGCTACCTCCAATGCCTTAACAATAGACTCATTCATTACAGTCAGGATGCAATGTGTAGCTTCTGTAATAATCCACCTTTGTAATCGGGGAATTAAATATGCTGGTTGCGACAGGACATGTGAGGGGGGCGGCAGCTATACCACCAACCATCCTGTGGGTTAATTTATTCCATCAATGTATAGCTAGCTCTTGATTCTTTATCTGTACTCCCTCATACATAATAGAGTAGCACCCTACTGACGTGTATGCAAGCTTGTTAAACAAAACTTCGAAAATATGAATGACGCCGTCAGTTTGGAATGTCAATATACGCTAACTGAAGCAACACGTGTGTACTGAATCTTGCAACATTACTAAACACATGCACCGGTTACATGAACATGATACGTTACACCTACATAACTTTGAAGTTCAATAAACATTGATATACAACTGTCACGGATATTGCAGGGAGATTTATGACACATAATAAACTAACTAAAAAAAACTGTATATAGCCTACAATTGCTCATTAAAATAAGGATATCTTCAGCTAGAATAACGACAAATAAGTGGATATTACTAGTTTTCTGTAATTCGTTACACTATCAAACTTCAATAATATTTAGAAAATATTGAACCGCTGTTATATCAAAAAACAATTATCTGTATACTGTAAATTAAAGATTAATGATAATTATGAGACTTCAGGGAAGTTTGTATACTTAACCGTTGTTGCTTTTGCTTGCAACACTTCAATATTCATGTTGCAGTTGTTGCACTAGTGAAGATGGTCATTATGAAGCCCCCCCCCCTCCACTTGTCACAATGTTACAAAAATGATATGCTAAATTCCCCCAACCTAACCACTAGAAGATGAAGATGACGACGACGTTTCGGTCCGTCCTGGACCTTTCTCAAGTCGATTGTCGTCGTCCCTTCACCTTCTAGTGTGTGGTCTGGTCATCATATTTGGTTGGTTGTTTCAGCAGCGTTGTTGTCACTCTCTGTATTACACGTGATGCTTACCACAGCATTCATAACCAAACCCAAACTTGTTTCCCACAAACAGTTGTATGTACAGTTGGGTTCCTTCTCGACTCACAATTGAGAATCACTGACGGGACATAACTGGTTAGGTACGTTTCCTTTCATCTTGAAGGGGACCTCGATATAAGCCTAACGTATATGCATACACGCTGCATGTCCCCGACATAACGATTTATTAATTATTATATCCATTTAACCAATGTTTGACAAGTATTGTACGACGTTTAAGCGAACATTAAGTTCACTAGCTAGCAATAGCCTGCAGATAAGCAGCTGAGGGGCAGTATCAGAGTAAGAGATGCTGTGACCTCTGCTGATCTGTTGAAGTCGACACAACCCCTGCAGTATACCTCTCACCCCAACTACGCTCACAGAAATGATTCAGTGTTGCCAATGCACCCTGCAACAAAAGTAATGAGCGTAAACTTTAATTTGATATGGCTATTATACATGCTATTGACGTGGTATGCCAAACGCAACCCACGGTTTTTCAGCAAGAAAAATCCTCAAGCCAATATACCTGAAAGGACTGGAGATAATAATCTGTAGGTTCGTAATTATTATTTACATTAATGAAGAGATTAATAATTCCGGTGGCGACGAAGATTACCGGTATGGAGATTTAGTTTAGTGCATTTATTATACTCTCCCTATTTCAAACCTCTCGAGGGGGTAGTGGAAAAAGTTTCAGAGGTACATAATGGGTTCAGGAACAGAACCCCCAAAATTCGTATTGCTAAGTTACAACACTGATAAGCTATTTACAGTTTGCTACAATAAATAAATCGTCTCTTCAGAGTTATCAAAAAGCTTTACAGTGACCGCAAGTAGCCGAAACAGTAAGTGAACGTTTGCTAATTGAATCAGCTGCACAATTGTAATATCCACATCATGCTCCCCACAACCCTATGCCGGGAGGACAAAATATCACCCCTTAAAATTGCGTTGGATAGAAAGAGTATATAAAATAATAAAGTAACGGTAATAAAAATTTAACAAAAGCGAGATATGGTTCGATCACATAAGGCCAGATATGGTTCGATCACATAAGGCCAGATATGGTTCGATCACATAAGGCCAGATATGGTTCGATCACATAAGGCCAGATATGGTTCGATCACATAAGGCCAGATATGGTTCGATCACATAAGGCCAGATATGGTTCGATCACATAAGGCCAGATATGGTTCGATCACATAAGGCCAGATATGGTTCGATCACATAAGGCCAGATATGGTTCGATCACATAAGGCCAGATATGGTTCGATCA